CCCAATGTCAGAAAATGTGCCATGTACCACTGCATTTTGATCAACCTACCTTTGTGAATCAACATTTTCACACATGAAACACATCAAATCCAAATACCAATCAACAATTTCAGATGAACACCCTGGATGCTTGCTTGAAGCTAGCAGTCACCACCTACAGTCCTAATTACACAAAGCTGGCAGACTACATGCAGTGCTAACCATCTCATTGGTAGTAAGTTTATGATTTTGTCATGTTAACAATATATCATAACAATTATTGAAAAATATATTTTGTTTACTTCTCTCTCTCTACGAATCTACGTATTTTATGGCAATGGGTGAATATTAGGCTGGTAGATCGCGTCAGGGTAACTGTGGAAAAAGCAGATCACATCACACAAAAGGTTGGCCACCCCTGCAGTACAGTACATATAGTATAGTGCAGTACAGTATAGTACAGTACAGTATAGTACAGTACAGTATAGTATAGTATAGTACAGTATAGTACAGTACAGTACAGTATAGTACAGTGCAGTATAGTACAGTATAGTACAGTACAGTACAGTATAGTACAGTACAGTACAGTGCAGTATAGTACAGTGCAGTATAGTACAGTGCAGTATAGTACAGTATAGTTGATATTTACAATTAGAACTTTTTTATACAATTACTTTTAGATGGTCAACACTATTTTTCAGACCAATTTTTTTCTAAAAACATAATTATATTTTTAATTATAATATTTTAAGCATACCCTAAACACAGACTTGAATCAAACTATTATATATTTCTTTCCAGAAGAAGAAAAAGAACAAACCCCCGGACCCTCAATAGCTAGGTTTACGGCTATTCATTCCAACGAGGAATCCATGTTTAGGCCCGTTCAAGAGAAAGAGGATTCTCTAACCATCGTGCTGACTGAGGATATACAGGAACATGACATAACAGTAACCATTGTGCTTTTACAACCTGAAACTTCATCACATCAAAACATTCAGGAGTCTTCATCGTCCAGAACATCTGTTGCAGAAAGATGTAGCTCAAGCAAGACTCGTAAACCTCTTGCTGCTACCACAGAACAGAGATGTAGGTCTCATACCCCTTCTGCCATAGCTGATGATAACCAGACTAGGTCAACTGTAACTGGTGATCCCACTCATGAACTGGGTTCACTCAATACCAAGTACAAGTAATAGTAGGAGCAGACGTGGCAGCAGGCCACGATCCCCTTCTGCCTAAAAGATGCAAATCTTATTCCAGAGGTGCTTCATGTTCCTGTCACAAATGAGGGACAGTTTGGTAGAGCTTGTTAATTCTGTTCAGGAAAGTGCCACCAAAATTTCATCAAACATGGTTAAACTTGTAGCTAACAACGAGTGCATTGCATCTGCACTGTAAAACATTGCAAAAGCTGTGCAGTCAAAAAATCCTACCCCATGATGCTGTGTTTAGGGTATGGGTATGTGTTGTTTACTTCTAGAAGTCCTTTACTTTTGATCAATGTGATAATAGCGTATTTGAAAAGTCATCAAACACTTATTAAATTTTTTTCTTTGAGTGATTGTTATGAAAGAAGACAGGGCATGTTAAATAATTGTGTAACTTTCACCCTCTACTAGTCATGAGAATTTAACATGAATATTAACCTCTCCATAAGTGAGTTAAAATCACAAAGTTAAGTGAAAGACACAAAATTGTTAACTAATAACATGTGTTGCAGTGATCCTACGGATAATGTTTACCCAGGTTTTGGGTAAAAGTTCATACTGTAATAAAATGTATAGCTTTAAAACCAGAGTCATGTACTTACTTTAATTTTTTTAAAGGTTCCTTTATTTGGTAATACGTAGTTAATTTCCAGTTCAACCTGCTTTAGTGATTAGTGATTATTTTATGATTATGAATCAAGTAGGTTGAAACTGAAATAATGTTGGAAGTTCACCAACAGACTACTGTAATCACTGCTATTTACCACACATATGAACTTCTCCATAGAGCTCAGTTGTTGCATTGGTTCTTTCTGAAGGATGTGCAGCCTCATGCTAAATTGTATAGCTTAACACGCCAAGAGTTTGCTATTTTGTTTTCTTTATTACATATAGTAGTACAGTATTTGGTTATAAGTTTATTTTAATATAAGGGGATTTATGCAGGTACAGTCGATTCATGAGAGTTCCTTGAGTAATTTTACATATGAAAATTGTACTGTATTCCATTTTTAAATCCTAAAAATGGCAACAATTTCCAGTACTGCAGTTGTATTAATTTTTCACAAGGATGTGGTGACCCATGTCAAATTGTGTAGTTTAAGAAGCAAATAGTTTTGATATTTTTTTATTGTTTCAAGTTGTCAAATATGTTTTATATAATGATGTTTAGTAGTATTAAAAGTACTGTATACTGTATTGGATTCAAATTTGCTCAATGATATACTGTAGTACATACTGTATTTTCCTATATAAAATGTTTATCATATGAAGGTAAAAGATAGCCAATTATGTTCTTTGTTTTCTATAAAGAAATTTATTTTATTATGAACAGTATATTGAAAATAAAAGTTAAGTCAATGTACGCTTTATTAGCATTACCTCTGTATACTGCAATAAAAAATCGTAAACTTAAAGGAAAAAAAAATATTGGTGACTCGATATGTGATTTTAATTCATCAACTAAACCAATTACGGACTATATTTGCTCGGACTGCTTGGCCCGTCCTCGCTTCGGCAACACCTACAACTGGATTGTCTATCTCTCCAGCATTGTCGACCATGTCGTGTAGTGGTGCCGTTCTCATTTCACAATAATTGTGAAGAAGGAAACATGCAATTACAAATTTTGCACATTTAAGGATCGTATTGAAGTGATCCGCCAGAACGGTGAAGGACATCTAAATCGATTTTAGGATCCCAAAGGGTTGCTCTACAACTATGCGTATTTTGTATGGCTTGTTATACCTCACCTCTGAGGGGTTGAGAGGTTTGAATGGTGTCATGAGGAATGGCTCTAATGGGTACCCACTGTCACCTGGAATAACTTGAGTAATTATATAATAAAATAAAATAAATGTCTAGCTCAATATAAAATATACAGTAATCAAAAATATATATAAAAAAAGCTAAAGTGCCCTTGGGGAACTTAATCCCTCAGCTCACTCCTCTACCTATAACCCAAAAAAATATAACCTATATAGCTGCATTACCAAACAATGAGGATGTAGCGTACTGTAAGTGGCCAGTCGTCAATTCTCTTTAATTGTCTATTGTCTTTGTATGGGCACACAACGTACGTATGAGGAATGAGGTAGAATAGAAACTCACAATGTATATATATATATATATATATATATATATATATATATATATATATATATATATATATATATATATATATATATATATATATATGTTATATATATATATATATATATATATATATATATATATATATATATATATATATATATATATATACATACATTGTCTGTTGGGTTACTAGGTGAGAAGTCTTGCTCAGAGTCCTGTAGGCGAGGAAATTTGAGTGGAGCTGGGGAGCGCTGGAGAGATCTTGCGTCCAGTAGGTCTATAGATGGTCCTGGTTCAAATTTAGAAGTCTCTAAGTTGTTGGCAGAGCCGACAGAGGAAGGAGCAGGAGGTTAGAAAGGAAATGTAGTGGAGAGATAGTGCCAGCCATGGCCATATTTATTCAATTTAAAAACATCAGGATTTGGGGTGCGTAGAAAGAGATCCAATCACAGAGAGAGGAGGCCAGGCACACCTGGCATCTGGTCCTAGCTTCGTGCTTCCTTCGCAGATTGAGAGTAGGTCTACCAGCATTGCTGGCTGTACGCTGATTGGCTGGTAGGCGCGCTGGAGCTCAGTTGTCACTTGTAGGGGATGGGGTCCACTACAAGGAATTATTTACTTCCTTCCATATTAATTAATTCCCAAAGCATGATTTTGCAGGAAACTTATGGCTTAGGTAATGACTTTCAGAGGGGAAAATTTTCCGGAAAATTTTGAGAAAAGTTTCCCTGAAAACAAATAAAAATCCGGACTTGGGGGATATTTCTCTGGGTTCGAGGGATGATCTAGTTGGCAATTTCAGGAACTACCCAAAAAAAATTTCTATTACCATAAACATTTTGGGGATGAGGGATAAATTCTGGATTTGAGATAATCGTCTCCTTAACCCAGAAAACTCTCTCATTCACGAAGCGTCAACAAGTGTTCCGCTAACGAGATTCACAGTATTTGGTGTTTTACCCACAATAGAATTTGAGTTAACCCTGGCTTAATGTTGGCCTGTGACAAGAGACATAAGCTAGACTAAAATATCATTTCACCCACACCACCACCATACACCACCCCACCCACACTACCCATACACCACCCACACCCACACACCACCCATGCACCACCCCACCCACACACTACCCACCACCCATACACCACCCACCACCCATACACCACCCTCTACACATACACTACCTTCCACCTATACACCACCCACCACCCACACACCACCCACACCCATACACACTCACCTCCCCACCCATACACCACCCATACACACCACCACCCATACACTCACCCACCACCCATATACCACGCACCACCCATACACCAAACCACTACCCATACACTACCCACTACCCATATACTACGCACCACCCATACACCAACCACTACCCATACACTACCCACTCACCCATACACTACCTACTACCCATACACTAACCACTACCCATACACTACCCCAACCATACACCACCCATACACTACCCTCCACCCATACACTACCCACCACCCATACACCACCCACCACACTACCCAATACCCATACACTACCCCCACCCATGCACTACCCACTACCCACACCACCACCCACTACCCATACACCACCCCTCTATCCATACACCCACTACCCATACACAACCCATACACTACCCACTACCAATACACTATCCATACACCACCCCACCCATACACCACCTCACCCATACACCACCCACCACCACCCATACACTACCCATAATACCCACTACCCATACACTACCCACAGAATCCCCTCATAGGTAGAAGGTGTAGCTACCAAACAGGGAGGTACTACCGCCTGGGTAGATATTGAAGCATATGTGTTGTCTAACAGACCCCTGCTGCCACATGGCATTGCAAAAGTGTGACCAAGTCCCAGGTTGCTGATCTGACTTTCTGCCCCATTTACACACACTGGGGGGTCTCAAATGTTTCTCTTGCTATTGACAACACAACATACATATATCGTTTATCACTAATTTTTTTTTAATTTCTTTATGGTTCCATATTATTATTATTATTATTACTATTATTATTATTATTATTATTATTATTATTATTATTATTATTATTATTATTATTATTATATATTATTATTGTTATTATTAATATTATTAATATTATTATATATTATTATTACATATTATTATTATTATTACGTTTTCGCCTCAGGCACCTGATGGGTCGGTGACCTGTGTCCGGTACACAAAAAAAACCCTACCCACCACCCATACACTACCCACTACCCATGCACTACCCCCACCCATACACTACCAACTACCTATACACTACCCACCACCCATACACTACCCACTATCCATACACTACCCCTACCCATACACTACCCTCTACCCACACCACCCTCTCCACCCACACCACCCACCACCAACACACCCATACACCACCCCCACCCACACACCACGCCCACCCACATACCACCCACCACCCACACACCACCCCACCCATACACCACCCACAAGCCCGCACACCACCCACCACCCATACACTCCCCCACCCATACACCACCCCACCCATACACCACCCACCACCAATACACCAACCATTCACCACCCCCACCCACACACTACCCCTCCCCACACACCACACCCATACACCACCCACCACCTACACCACCCACCAGCCCGTACACCGCCCACACCCATACACCACCCACCACCCACACGACCCCCCACCCATACCTCCTACCCTCTACCCATATACTCACCCTCTCCCCATACACCACCCACGCCCACACCACGCACCACCCATACACCACCCACCACCCATACACCACCCCACCCATACACCACCACCACCCACACACCACCCACCACCCATATACCACCCACACCACCCCCTCGCCACAATAACCACCCACCCACACACCACCCACCACCATACACCACCTTCTCCCCCACACACCACCCACCACCCATACACTACCCCAACCAACACCACCCATATACCACCCAGCACCCATACACCACCCACTACCCATACACCACCCCTCACCCAACAATCACTAACTACCCATACCCAACCCACCACCCAACACACCACCACTACCCATACACCACCCACCACCCATACACCACCCACCACCCATACACCACCTTCTCCCCCACACACTACCCACCACCCATACACTACCCTCTAACCACATACACCACCCATATACTACCCAGCACCCATACACCACCACCACCCATACACCACCCTCACCATACACCACTAACCACCCATACCCAACCCACCACACCCACACTACCCACCACCCATACACCACCCACTACCCACACTACCCCCACCCATACACCACCAACCATCCACACATACCCACCACCCATACACCACCCACCACCCATACACCACCCCCTACCCATACACTACCAACTTCCCCATACACACCACCCACCACCCATACACCAACAACCACCCATACACTACCAACTACCCATACACTACCCACTACCCATACACCACCCACACACACTACCCTCTACCCACACCACCAACTTCCCATACACCACCACTACCCACACACCACCAACTACCCACACACTACCCCACCCATACCCCACCCACTACTAAAACACTTCCCACTGCCCATACACCACCCACCACCTATACACTACCTCTCTCCCCCACACACCACCCACCACCACACTACCCACCACCCATACACCACCCCCCACCCATACACTACCCACTAAACCACATACACTCCCTGCATCCACACATTCCCTCTACCCACACACCAACTTCATCCACACACCACCCCTGCACCCACACACCACCCACCACCCATACACCCCCCATCCATACACACCCCCACCCACACACCACCCCACCCACACACACCATCCCCACCCACACCAACCCCAACCATCCACCACCCCCAACCCACACCACCCACCACCCACACACCACCCCCACACACACCACACCCAACACACACCACCCCACCCATACACACACCACCCCACCCATACACCACCCACCACCCATACACCACCCCACCCATACACCACCCCACCCACACACTACCCACCACCACACACCACCCCCACCCACATACACACACCACCCCACCCATTCACCACCACTACCCATACACCCCACTACCCATACACCACCCCAACCATACACACCACCCACCACACACACACTCACTCCCACCATGCACCCACCCATACACTGCCCCACACCCACACATCACCCCACCCATACACTACCCACACCATACACCACCCTCTA